ATAGTATAAAGGGCCCCACAACCCTATTCTATTTACGAAGGCCCAGAAAAATTTAACCCTTATAGTAGCCCTTATAGGACCCCCTAAGGATCCCGTCAAAGGAACCCTATTCTAGTCATTAAGACCCTATTCTAGTCATCCGGGCCCCTATACGAAATATTAGAAACTGGGCGGATTCGATGAGGTGCCGGACTGACGGATGCGGCTACAGCCTCGGATGGGGGAGCACAGGATGGGCTTTAGGGCTTCTGGGGTTTAGGCTTTAGGGTTTAGGGGTGTTTAGGGGGTTTAGGGGGTTTGGGGGGTTTAGGGTTTAGGGGGTTTAGGGTTTAGGGATTGATGGTTTTGGGTTTGGGGTTTTAGGGTTTGGGGTTTAGGGGGTTTAGGGTTTAGGGATTGATGGTTTTGGGTTCGAGTGTTTTTAGAGTTTGCTTCAGGGCCCTAAACAATTAGTACCACGACTGTTTTGGGGCTCCCTTTTTGATAACTATAGAATTATATACCCCTAAACCCTGTTTTAATTATTCAGACCCCTATAGTAGGCATTTGGGGCGTTTAGGGCCCTAAACCCTGAGCCCTAAACCGTTAGGGAGTTGGGACTTTTAGGGTAGATTTTAGGGTGTAGGCCAGGTTTAGGGTTTAGGGCCCCTTTTGGGGGGGTCCTTCTTATAAGGATGCCGTATTATTTTGTGGAACTACAAACTTAAAACGGGACACTCGTTTAGAGAACTACCCATCTCATGTTGAACACGGAAGACGACTTCTGTCTTCCCGGATGTTCCTGGCTGTCATCCCTAGGATAACTATAGTTATAACCCATGTCAGGCGAAGTATACTGTACATCTATAAGCAGGGTTTTCAGTCCCCTAACCTAATATGGACCATAGCTAGAGTTATCTTCTGCAGGACCGAGAGTCAGCATTGGTCACTCTGAGCATCCGCCCATGTCTACAACCATGGAGAACAGGGTTTAGGGTTTAGGGCTGACAGCGCGCATGGTGGCGGTTGTCTTCGCCACCAGAATGTGAGTTTCCTTGGTGCAACTCAGTGTATCCCTGTTCAGACGTGGTGCCTTGTCGGATGCCTCCAGAGGAGGAGGTTGAGGGTTTAGGGTAGGCTCGTAAAGGTCATAGGAAGACAGGGACCTCCTCTTGGCGTTCTTCTGGTTGGCTCTCAGGACTTTAACTTTTGGGGGTTTCTATATGAACCATAACAAGGATGCTAAAATGCTAAAAGTGCTTAACTTTTTGGAGGGGTTCAGAAGTCAGCCAAGTCCTATTTGTGGCATAGGTCCGGGTTTCGATTCAACATGGGGGCTTCCGAAAGGCCTCAGTTGCGCCTTCACCGCAGGCCCAAGATCCCTCGGTGTCTATGCCATTTTGGGCTCTTAGACAGCTTTATTAGCTTTGGCCCAGACTTCCAAGATCTGTGGGGTTTTGGGAATACGAAGGTTTTTTGTGGACAAGGCGGGCAAAAAAAGTGGGAAGTTTACACAGGGTTCAGGGTTGCGGGTGTGTTTCTCTTGTCGATAGATTTGGGATTGCGAGTTTGGCCTGACAACTCGAGCTGAGCGTCCTTAGCCGTAGCATCCCCATCGTTGTGCAGTCAGTCTACTGTATTTTATAGTATAATCACAATAAGGAACCCCCAAACAAGTATAGGTACCTATTTAGGACGCTACATGAGGGCGCACTGCAAATTCGAGTCTGCAGCACGCGCACGAGGGCTTCCTATAGCGGAGCTCAAGCCCGAGGTATCCCCCTGGCTGTATAACATGGGAGCCTTATAATAAGCACCTGTACTATTTTGGGGGCTGCTTATTACAACTACATAGCCCAAAACCCCATTCTAAGGCACCTACATTATTATCCCCTGTCCTCATAAACCTTCACTCTTCACCTAAACTACACACGCTAAAGCCGTGACAACCACCACCTAAAAGCCCAAATCCATTCAATCAGGGAATAACACTGCTGGCAAAAGTAACCTTGGTGCCCCAAGAAGCCCTGACCAAAGGTTCTAGATCGAGCTGCCGCAATTACGGCCGATGAGGCCTTGGCTACCTGTTTACGGTGTTCTTGGTCGTAGTCGTGGCCCCCGTCGTCGTTATCGTAGTCCGCAGCAGTAGTAGCAGCAGAAGCAGTCCCCGTCGTCGCCCTGGTGGTAGTGGTGTCGTTGTGGCCGTGGTGGTGGGTGTTGGTGGTAGTGGTCGTCGTAGTAGCAGTGGTAGCATAGCAGTAGTAGCACGAGTAGTAGTAGTAGTAGTAGTAGTAGTAGTAGTAGCAGCAGCAGTAGTAGTAGTAGTAGTAGCAGTCGTAGTAGTCGCGGCAGCAGATGCTGTTGTTGGAGTAGGAATAGAAGCAGGGCACCTAGGAGTCGGAGTGGGAGTAGGAGCAGGGGTAGGGGAAGGGGTAGGGGCAGGGTGGGGGGAGGCGTAGGGGGGGTTTAGGGTTTAGGGTTTAGGGTTTAGGGTTTAAGAAGCATTATAAAGCCTCTCCCTTGGGGAACTTGGGTAGGGGGAGGGCAATGAGAAGGACCTTTGGGGGTGTTCGCAGGAACAGGAGTAGAAGTCAGTAGAGGCAGCTGTGGAACTTCTGAAGTAGCACCATGATTGCCACAAGCAAGAACAGCGGACATGGTTTAGGTTCTGTGGCATGCAGATCGACACCACCGGATTGCATTCATTGGGTGGCGAGCTCTGGTTCGATCCTTAATTCAGGCAAGCCTCAGCGGCAAGTATACAAACTTAACTCGAGTTTACTCCCGGCAGCAGCCCCCTAGACCCTAAACCTCAAACCCCTTCACTGCCTGAACCGTAAACCCTGAACCCTGAACCCTAAGCCCTAAACATCTAAACCCCTCGACCCCTAAACTCCTAAGCCCTACACCTCCCAACCCTGAACCCTTGTTCTTCTTAAGCGAACGGCCGAAGCCCTTATAGTAAAACACAGAACCCTTAGACCACCCTCGAAAGAACCCTTGTAGGTAAACCCCATTCAAGTCGCCTCGCACGCAAGCCGTAAGCCACAAAACATAAACAAAAGGGAGTTAACCCTAAACCGTAAAAGGGGAGTTGTTAAAACATTAGACCCTAAAGTTTGAGCCCAAAGACTTTCACCAAAGCGCCGCCGTCATGCCACTGCCGGTAAGTACCGTGCGCATCGTCGGCCATGGGATGAACCTCGGCCACGCCTTGGGTTCGAAAGTGAAAAATGACGGGCTGAGCCCTAAGCCCTAAACCCGAACTCCCAAAACCGCAAAACCCTCAGCCGCAAGCCTCTAAGCCCTAAGCCCTAACTCCTAAACCGCTAAGCCCTAAACCCCAACCCTAAACCCTAACTCCTAAATCCTAACTCCTACACCCTAAACCCCTACACCCCTAAACCCTAAACCCCTAAACCCGTTAACCCTAAACCCTAACCCCTAAACCCCTAAGCCCCTAAACCCAAGGTTCCGGGTTTACAGTGCATGATCTCAGGGTGGGGTGTTGACAGGTTGAGGGTTTTCACGTAGTGTCTAGGGTTCAGGGTTTGGGTTTAGGGTTTGGGGTATCAGCAGCTCCAGATCCAGCATTTTCTAGTCGAGCTCGCTTCCTTGGCATCGGAAATCATCCCACCCACCCGACATTCCCCTAACATTAGAACACCACTCCGTTTTCTTGTTGAACTTAGAAGCAAGGCAAGGTCCCAGCCAAGGCAAGCCTGAATGAGGCAATGGCATTGCTTGGAGCCATCATGGCCGATTCTTTCCAGCCTGAAGAAAGCATTTGTCCTCAGTCTGAACAAGGCAAAAGAAGGCGAAGCAGAACCAAACAGCCTGAAGGCAAGCAAGAAGAGCCTGAAAAAGACTGCTCCTGGCAGCGGCCGGGCTGCCCTGGTAGCGGGTGCGGTGGCACATATAGAAAGCAGCACGTGCTCCGTGAGGACACCAAGCAGTTCAGACGTCTAAGTGAGGTGGATGTTTTATTCTAAACCTTAAGACCTAATATAGAAGCCTAAATAATTACCAATATTATTCCTGAGGGTTCCCTATCATAACTATACTATAAAGGAGCCCCAAACCCTATTGTAATTTTAAACGCTTCGCGTCGTCCGCCTCGAAAAGGGGGGTGCGAGCGGGAGGGGCGGGGTGGGGTGGCGGGGGGTGCGCGGGGTGGAGACTCCCTGGAAACCCAAATTGATTCTGGGGCTCATTTTCGGGTTCACACAAAG